ACATTAGTGAGTGATGTGGAAATGCTTGTTTGCAAGATGATGCTCTATTTGGTTATGCGATCAAGCTCTACGTTTTTCGCATCTCGAGTCAATCGCAGCCACTGAGCTCTCACTATTTAATGCCTGGTTTGGTGTGGATTTCGAGCAGACGTCCTCGTCAACTAACGTATCCTTTAACAATCGTCTCTTAGTATTAAACATCCGAAAAACATTTTTCATCAAGTCCTTCATTCGCGCCGATGTCTACCGCGTGACTCAGTACATTTGTAAGCCGCTTGGTTATGAGAGGGCGCAAGTGAAGGCAAGGAGAGCCATTAGCTCAAACAGTGTTGCAGTATCGTTGGCACTAACCTGAGATAACTTTACGGAGGTGCGTTGTCAGTTTTACTGAAAATGTTTACTGACATGCCACTTAATGTTACGCCTCCGAAAAAAGGCTTTTAGGAGCATCAACTTGTGCATCGATATTAGCCAGGTGATCTAACAGCGTAAGCGATTTGGTTTTAAAGGAACTCGGGTGGGGTTTATTTGGGTGACTATTCTTGATGAATCTGGCCTACCGTTCTAGGGTGTATAATGTGCCTTGCTGACGATGAATGTGAATAAGTTCAGTTACAACGGATGGACTGAAAGATTAACACAGCATTTGTTGTCTATGCCCCTGAGACCTCTTACGCAGTCATGACAACCTACAGTTAGTGTTTGTTAGTGTGCAAACCTTTAGTAGAGTACGTCTGATGTAGTTCAACACGCATCTGTTTGAAGGTGGTTGGATTTTTGTGACCGCATTGGTGCCTTTCAGCGTCTGTGCTATTAAGTTGCTCGTATGCTGTATGTGCGGCTGCGTACTTATGTTATGGTTGCGTAGTGGATCCCACAGCGATCGACCTTGAGTAGGGGCTGAGTCAGACCGCATTATGCAAGGCACTAGTCCATTTGTGTGCCATCTCACGCAACTACGTACAGATCATTAAATTCAAACTACCGCTAGTTCCTGAACCGTTTCACATTTGGGTATAGTGCCCTCTCACACGGATGACTGCGGCTATCTTAACTAACAGTAACAGCAGTTATGACAAAGTCGTTTAAGTAAGCCGAGGTAACTGGCATCTGCAATGATTGCGGTTAGTAAACATAGCGGCAATGTTAGTAGGGAGATTGAGTTCGAGGAGAATGGCAGTTATGTGCATCCTAAACTAGACAAAATGCCCTATATGCTCCAGCGTCATAATACATGTTGGGCACTGTCCTTGCATTCAGGTGTCATAATTTCATAGATGCATGTTAGTTCCCGGTGGCTAATATGTAGACGATTTCGTTGACGTCTCCTTAGGTCGAACGAGCGGTCCTTGTGCTCGCGAAAGCTAAAGGCGCGGTCGGCCCGTAGAGTTAATCTCGCCTTCTGGTTCAAACAATATTCCTCCCATTCTCTGTTCCTGTTATACAGGAATCACACTGGAGTGCGTAGGGAAATTATTACACGATCTCATGATTGTCATCAATCCCTTTAACGAATGAACGGGTCCATCAACTTTTCAGGTAGCTCTATACTTCGTTACTCATATCCTCATTAACATGATTTATTGCTTTTATTTTGTAGGAAAGATGAACGGTAATGTTAAGCTATTATTCTAAACTGTTGCGGTACAATTGCCATCCAACTTATTCTCTGGGTTTCATTTGCCAAATTTAACTATCTTGCCTATGGAACTGAGGTCGGTCTTCGTTGTGTTCATCCGGATCATCATCGTCTCATTCTTGAATTGTAGGCAAGCGCGTGAAACGTCTATCCATTTTTGTGCTGAGGAACATATTCCGATCTGTCTGACGTATAATATTGATTAGCGCCGCGTAACGCTTTATCCCATTTATTGGCCATTCTTGGAAGTAACCTGAAACAAATACATTCATGTGTAATTCATTTCAAGATAAAGCTATCTCTTAAGCTGGTCATGACTCGGATAAAGAAATAGTCTACAGGAAGTTATTCAGTTTCTAGTTTCTCATGCATTCCGATGGGAACTATGCCTTTGAATTCCATTCGAATCAAATGTTTATAAAACGTCGAGGTAGTCAATCATCCCAATCTTCTTATTGCAAACTTATGGTTACTATGCGCATATACGGTTTAGACAAGGTTTCTTACAAGGTTTGATTCCCTTGCATGCCTTTTCTAACTTTTCCTTTTCTCTCTGTGTTTGTGTTGGCAATGGGAAACGGGTGGTTTCCATTTGTTGCTGAAATGGGAATTCACAATTGCTATAGCTGTTCTCACCGGTGGTTCCATTGCTAGACTTACGTTAATCTGAGTGAGCCACAACAGCGTTTGCCTTGCACCCTCTTCCTTTTTATATCGCTGTTATTTTGGACCTGCACCAATGTTCTTGAAAGACCTCCTGGCTCATCGTCATCTCCAATGGTGTTGAATTTCTGTAGGTAGCATCTGGCGTGGTCTTGAATCTCGATCCCTGAGGTAGCCCATTCGTTAAGCTTCTGGATAGCCGGTGGCATTGAAACAGGCTGAGATGAAAACGCAGTTTTTGTTTGAAATTAGAACGCCACATAGACTGAGGCATTTCAGGTTACAGTGCGAAAGGACTACGTCATTTCGAACTACACCGTGCATCACTTCATTTCAGGTCACTTACAAAGTAACACAGATCTTAGCTTCGTTTGATTCTTTATCCACAAGGTTCTAAAATTCGGCAGCATGCGATTGGGTTCACATTATTTAGCAGCGACTGCTAGCTTTAAATTCTGTGTTCGATAAGCTTTTCTTTTCTTGCGTTGTGTGAAACACTGTATCAATGAGTGTCCTTCCAGAAACATACTTAGGCCTGGGAATTTCAAAACCGACTACTTCCTTCGTAATTTCAATTGACGATATATAAAATGATACGGCCGGTGGGATGAGGTCGTCTTGCCATGCGCTCTCATCAATCACATACATACAAGTAATAATAGCCTAATTGGGACAAATGCACGTGTGCTTCATTGGCGTTCACCTCATGTATCGCCAGGCACGTTGACTTGATAGATGACGTCGTCGTGCGGTTGGTCGAAGGTCGATGCCCAGCTCGCAACGCACCAGTAAACACCGAGTGGTAGAAACTGACCTCATGTATTCATTGAATTCTGGTTGGACCACGTGAAGTTCACTGATACACCCAGTATCTTCTGAAAATGGATGACGGTACGCAACGCAGCATGGCGAGTGTACAGAGAAGCTCCAGCACCAGAGACTTGGGACAACTACGTAGCCCAACGTAACCACTGCATTAAACTCTTAAGAGAAGACAAAGCCGCCTATAAGCAGAACATCGCAGCAACCTTCAGTGCTAACTAAAAACTGCTGTACAAGCACGCTAACAGCCTACGAAAGGCGAGGCAAAGATTTCCTCCACTCAAGACGGCTGTCGGCCCAACAAGAACGGCTGTGGAAGCAGCAAATGCGCTGCAGATGCAATACGCTCCCACGTTTCACAGAGTCTTGCCACCAAGCGATCTACCAAGCTTTGTCTTCTGCTCGCCAGGACTAACCCACGTCACTTTTACCGTAGAGGCTGTATTGCGAAAGCTGACTTCTCTACGCAAACACAGCTCGCCGGGTGTCGACATCATTCGTCCAGAGGCATTGGGAGCAGCAGAAAGTCAACTGGTAGGACTTTTAGCTCAGTTTTTCCAGCGCTGCTTAGCTCAGAATCAAGTCCCCCCCCCCCTAATGTGTAAGCTTGGAATAATAACACCGATTCACAAAGGTGGAAGCAGAACTGATCCCTCCAACTACCGCCCAGTATCCCTTTATCCTTACTCTCCAAGGTCATGGAATCCATAGTTGCCGATGCGCTGGTGTGCTATCTGGAAAACCGCAACCTCATCACTCCTAAACAGCACGGTTTCCGTCGACAGCGGTCATGTACAACGAATTTACTAATTGCACGCAGTAGTTGGACCGAGGCAGCTGACGCTGAAGAAGGAGTTGACGTGATCTACCTGGATTTTTTCAAGGCTTTCGACCGTCTAGACCATCGGATACTACTCTCCAAGCTGCAGCATTACGGGATCGGAGATCCTCTTTTAAGCTGGATCGCCAACATTCTACTTCAACGGCAATTAGTGGTCAGAGTTCGGAGCTCTTTATCGGACCCCATACAAGTCGAGTGTGGTGTGCCGCAAGGCTCAGTTCTAGGTCCACGTTTGTTTTTGGTGTTTATTAATGATCTAGCACAGGAAATCGCTTCAAACTTCCTAATGTTTGCCGAAGTTATCAAGATCTGGCGCAGGATGCAGGCGAACGCCTACCAACATATGGTTCAGAGTGACCTAGATATGGTGTATCAATGGTCGATCCAAAACTTATTGCATTTCAACGTCAGTAAATGCAAGGTGCTTACCATCCGACATCTGAGCAGCTACTCATACCGGCTCGGAACGAATGTACTACAACAATCAACTCACGAACGTGACTTGGGTGTGCTGGTTCAAGATGACTTGGGTTGCTCCAGGCAATCCGAAAAGGCCTCGAAGACCGGGAATCAACACGTCGGACTGTTGAGGCGGGCGTTTGGACAAATAAACAGCTCCATATTTCGACAAATGCTCAGTGCGTATGTTCGCCCCCATGTCGAATACGCAATTCAAGTCTGACATGCATGGCTGAAACACGACCTTAATGTACTGGAGCAGCCACAACGCCGGGCATCTAAGAACGTAATTGGAATGCGAAATCTTTTCTACCAGGAGAGGCTGCAACGACTGGGATTGTTCAGTGGAAGCTATCGCAGACTACGACGCGACCTGATTATGGCATACTTGATTCTGCAAGACCCGCATCATGTGTGCCACCCTTTCCTGCAACTCAGCAGCAATACAAACCTGAGGGGGCCACTCTTTAAAACTCGCAGAACCGTACAGTCGTCTGGAGTGCCGCAGAAATGTCTTTTCCATTCGTGTCTGTCACCCGTGGAATGCTCTCCCAGAATCGGTCGTCTCTGCACCAACACTAACAGTATTTAAAAGACGGTTGGATGATGCACTCATCCACTTACACTTTGTTACTTAACACTACGTCTCCATTCTACACCTGGAGTTTACCATGGAATTATTTGTCGTTAACTGTGGGTGCTTTGAATCTAAGAGGATCACAGGACTACAGCAGAGCAAACGATAAGTCCTTATTTTCATATTTAAAGTATTAACTATTTTACTATCCTTATTATCATTATTGTTATGTCGACATCCCACTAACTATCCAACGGGACTTGTAAAGCAACGCTTCTTAACCCGTATAAATTCATTGTTCATTGTAACTACCACATAAAAGTTTTGTCCGCAACTACCTTGGTTATTTCGTTGCTACATAACACATTTTCGGCTGGCGTCCTTTTTATGGACACATTCTAAACTGCGATTTAAGGCATCGAATTATTCCATTAGTTATACTTACTTTGCTTGTAATTTTACATAGAATACTAATTCACATTATTCTGACATCCTTTTGGCCAGTCCAAGTTTACTTTTAAACAAAAAGACTTCTTTCCTCCTATCACCATCGGAAGTGGATAAAACGGATAACCCAGAAGGGTTAGTGCATTTTAAGCAGTTATTCAATGAAATGTGCCAAATTGCTATTATAATTGGGTTTAGTTATATGTCTAGAGAATATGATCACACATGATCCCGTAAATACGTGATAGTCCTTGAATCCATTAGTTGCAACCATCGGTCATCTTTGGGACCACAGAAACAGAAGGTACCGTGACATTTAGCCTGTAAAAGCTAAATCATTGGTAACATGAATTATAATATGCTCGTGCTTTATGAATATTCCGATACATTATGCTTATAATACTGCAGTGTGCAGTATTTTGGATTGCGATAACATGCTTTTTACTTTCTAATGTCATTGTTGAAATTGTATGTTAACTATATTTCAATCAGTTAAAACTGCTTCTTCAACAGAAATCCTTAACTATATTGGGTACAATTTATTTTTAAATATGATGGAAGAAACTGAATGTGTTCTGGGAGACAACAAGCATATTACGCCTCCGGATGATGGAAAAACACTACGATGAAAATTATATCAATGAAGTGATTTAGAATACTGTATCTCTTGATAATCTGTCCATTAGACAGTTAGTCAGTGACGCTGAGACTAACTTAGCAATGCCTCATGGATCAGAAATTACAGTCAGCATGGGAAGCGAACTATGGGAAGAGAAACTAGAAAGTATCAATACTGGATTATAAGAGGAATTTGCCGCCCCATGCTTGTTTCATCAGTATAATCTCTAAAGGATACCGAACTTATGTCTAGAGAAAATGAGACTTAAATCAAGGAGCACGGACTCAAAGACAATGGTCTGAATGTTTACCTGATTTCTTAAGCGAATAACTTACACCGTATAAATCATTCGAATGCTTCTTTGCTACCTCTGTTCTTAAGAACATGAAAAGGCAGGTAATTAAGCACGCTCGTTTGAAATTGATCACGCATTCAGTATACGCATGGCTGAAATGTGTGCTTATTTTAGTTATTCTGTTTATCCCTGGCTTTAATCCATTATCACGAAGGCATATGTATTGGGTTTGTAGTGAAGCTGAAACATTTACGCCTTCAGTACTTAGTGACATTGGATTTTGTCCTTGTTCGTATCTTACGATTGTCCATTTGTTTTACTGATGGTACATCCGGTTCCCCGTCAAATTCTCTTAGTCTTTCGCTACTTTGCTCTGAAATCTTCCTAACTTGCTTCCAGTTCATTAAATCACGGCACAATACACGTTGGGTCCAGCACGTTTACACTTCTGAATAAGTGGTATTTTTATTGGTTCCCACTGGTTCTCGTCGCAACTAGTACCCGAGTTCCGCTCTATAATTGCTGAACCCGGTTGCGAGCTCCATCGCAGCCATCTTGAATGCCGCATCCCAATGAGACCGAACGTTATCATTTTGTTTGATTCATCCAGTTTTCATTGTGTAGTATCTTTCATTATGTCTCATTTCGACGTTAAACCTCTCGATCCCACTCTTAATGTGGTTGCAATTTCAGTCACACCGTTTATAAGAACTTACTCGCAGTTTTCGTTTGTATTGATGGAGTCGGAATTCACTCGTCATATGATCATTCCCGATTCATCAAGGTGTAGTCAATTCTCGCTTGCCTGTCCAGTAACGTGACTGTGCAACTCAGGGATTTCTTACTGAAGCCTGTTATTGAACGGACTGTCATAAACAGAGTCACGCCCTCTGGGTATACCCGCATTCGGCAGCTATTCCAACGCATGTAATCAAGTGACAAGAAGGTCTGTACGTCGTTAGACGAAATGCATCAGATGCTCGCAACATCATCCATGGACGGATCACTACTGCGCGAACTCGGGATACAACAGTTACCGGAAACAGCGCAAGGTATACCTACAGCGATTTAACTACAATCAACTAGCAATACCCTTCAGGCAGCCGACGCAGTGTTAGATGGTTTCCGCCCTCAGTTCAATTGCGTCGCTGCATCCTTGGCACAG